CACCGGCGAGATATCAGCCGTTAATTTGTTTGAAACGCCACCTGCACGGCCGATTGCGCCGCACCGCGACTGTGTGTCGTGTGTGTGGGTATATGCCCGCGACCGGACGGCCGCCGCCCCGGTGTTAACCAGGCTCTTCCGATCGAATGTGAAAGGACATTTTCTAATTTGCCCCCCGCCTCCCCCTCCATCTCCTCGTCCTCCCGCCTTCCTCTGCCGGCACGACAAAATGTCCACCGGGTATTCTACACGGTATTGCTCCTGTCCGATCACCTTACCAGGCCTTTCTACGGTGATGGTAGAAGGCCGGACGACTTTGGGAACCTTTCCTTTTGTGGTATCGTTGAACGTAACGATTATAAAATTTCTGGGTTTAGTTAACGTGGGTTTTGGGTGTAAATTGTAACTAGTATTTCCTTGGGGGAGGTATTGATTTTGTTCGGGGTTATGGGAATTTTGAAGGAGAGCCTTAGACGAGTTTCTTCTCCATGGCTGACACCGTAATGGCTGCTGCTACTGCGGGAGAAGGTGAAGAGGATTTTCAACACTTTGTCTACCGCTGGGTTATTAACCTTCTGTATTCGGCAATATTTTTCATTATATACATTTGCTATGTTCCGATGAGATATTGACAATGCTATTTGAAACTAACGGAGAGGAGACTTTTGCATAAATTAAGGATCAGAGTTATGTTATTCCTGTGTTTCATATGTTTATACGTTGTACAGAATTTAATATTCAATTTGCACGTTTATAATTTTACTGCGTTTAAACAAATGGCAACTGGGAGTCGCCTTTCGAGTGAAAAGGGTTAATCGGTTTTTAGTCTCCGCATACTTAGCTACTAACAACCTATTAATGTTACGTTGCTCTAAAACAAGAGAAATCAGACTGACATAGTGAGATTCCGTCATTTTAAAGTTATAGAGCGTTAGAAGTAGAAACGTACACTCCATCGCGATAAGGGAAACTATATCAGTCATTTGGGAGTGTTTTATTTTTAGAGATTCGATCAAGATCGTCGAGTTTACAAAAAATGAACAATAATGAAGGTAATGGTTCCGAATCAAATACTTCAGATACAGTACCTAGGTATTATGAAAACAATACTAGAATTCTGAGACCCAAAGGTATTATATTTTTACTTCCAAACGTCTTTAAGTTTAGTACAAAAAACCAGTCTTCTGTCATTTCGTATTTTTGTTACAGTTTCTGTAATAGTATCACTAATATTGTTTATAGAACACAATAATATTCCTATGATAGTTTTTTCTTATGTTTACTCTTCGAATATACTGGCACCATTTCGTAAAAAAAGTCTACTAGCATTTCGGTTATTTAGTAATTACGTACTGTTTAAAATTCTATCGGCAGAGCGAATCAGTTCTTTCAAAGGACTTTACTTACGTGACAAAATGCCGAAGAATGTTCGAATCTTAAGTTCTGCGGGTCGTTGAAATGACTCCCTCGCGCGAATTTTTCTATGAATGTTACCGAAGACAACGTATTCTGACTTTGTCCGTTAACGCGGTGTGTCTACGTACTGCTGGCATTGTATTCTAACGTAATAGATTCATGATCGGAAGATAATCAAACGAACTGTAAAAAGGAGTCGATTATATTCCCTACACGAATCTGATGTTGATAAGGCATAGTCAAGTGATTCATTTCCCTAATACGTCTACCGAGTTGCATGACAATTGGGAATACCGCTCGTGTGCAGTCGTTTCGAGGTGTATGATAATTCTTACAATGACTTTTCTCTCGTTGATAAATTTTAACAAAGGAAATCAGTAATCGATGGGTTTAGTTTAGGCTTTCAATCGCTATTAATTAATTTAGCATAGTTAATAAAAGTGTACACTTACCATAATCATTTGCTGACTATCCTGTTATAATTAACTAAACAAATGTCGATAAGGATAATATGATATGAGCGATGAAATATCGTATTACATAATTACTATTTATTTTCAGGAATTATGTACTTCATACTTTTAACTGTCAGATAGTGTAAAAATGGAAAAAATATATATTGTAATCAAATAATTTAATTGATACAACACTTACCGATGATAACAAGCCATTTTGCGAATGCTGGCCACTTTAAACATCTTAAAACTATGACAACAAATTAAACACTGATAATTACCTTTACAAGTATCAATCAGATGGAATACAAAGCAGAAATGCGTAATGTACTACATCTGTACTATCAACATAATAATATTGTTATTAATACGAATCAAGAATATTGAATTGTAATAAATATTATTACATATATAACTTAATCTGTACGTATTACTATTCTCCAAAATTAGTTACTAATCTTCATTACCTTTTTATCTACAATAACCCTTATTCGTCTCATTCTGTTTTATGCATCGTTTATCCACTTGACGGCGAGATTAATCGATCGATTAAATTTTGAAGAATACATCTGCATATAAATAAAATTAAACCAGTCTAAACAAAACTATTACTAAGCGATGGCTGGGGCCACATTGGGTCATTCGGCTATCGACTGTCGCAGGGACGTTCACTTGAAAAAGGCTAGTGAAAGTAAGAATGACAAGCAGTCCACGTCACGTTGCCTTAAAAGTAAGAATATTATTCCTACAGTTGAATCGTATGGTACTTACCCTAGGGTCGCAGATAGGGAAAAATCATTTAATTGAATACCTTTTTGTAAAATTCTTTTAATATGCATCACTCTAAAATAACTTTGAGAGTCGCTATCACGGGCTATAACTGTGTAGCAAATTCTTTACTTGTCGAACTACCTTCGTTGGTATAAACTGCGAAGTTACAAATAAAAAACTAATTATGATTTGCTGACAGAATACTTTAACTTTACAATTTACTTTTAAGAGACTTTTTACTTTTAAGACAGAATATTTTTAACTTAGAGCTTGTCTTAATTCTTTGATATTTAAGTTCTTCAGCCTCATTTATTTTTCGCTTTTATGGTATCTTCCACTTTTCTACCAGAGAATTGGATATTTAACTTAGAATATTTTTATGAAAATGATTAAACATGTAAATTCTGAACGTTTTAAAAACAAAAATTTTTAAACTGATTAATCGGAGAATAAAGAATCTGATATAAAATTAAATGAACGAAAGGGAACGCAAAATATTCAGTCAAATTTGAAAACCGGTCATTTGATAAGTCGCGGTGCGTTTAGTGTTAACACTAGAACTACCGGGCATTTAATACGATTAATATGTAATCCCTATAAAAATTGCAATAACAGATTATTCTCAGTTTCTCCAGGCATTCGTTATACTGTTCAAGTGAAACTATTTATTTTCAAAGTCATTTCGGATATTCAACGGTTTTAAGATATCAATAGTTGAAAAACAAAAACAATCGAAACCAATCATTTTCACTGGTACGGTAGTTCTAGTGTTAACAATCATTTCATCCAAAGAGCAAACATGTTTTCGTTAAATTCATGATTCCATAGAAGGTGAAATCACGTCGGCGGGCATTGAAACGTGAACGGAGTTGGGGGCGGGGGGAGAGAGACGGTCGTCCCCATGCAAAAGAAGACCGATATCGGTGGTTTTCTTCGACCGCATGCATTTGCTCACCATGGTCATTTACACCTTCTTCGCGTGTTCCTTGCACGCCATAACATTTCCGCGCGGCACGATATCATCTCCTTTCTTCTGTTCACCTCGCAGGTTCTTTGAAGTTCGCCAGGTACTTCCTGATCTTAAATACTTAAGGAAATGGCGATTTGATCGTGCGGCCGGTTCCTTCTTTCCACGGGCTGTCTTGAAACCACCGCGAGTCTATCAGATAAAACGTGAATGCAATCTTCGTGCATGTCGAAGATACTTATCGTAATTGTTAGGAGTCCGTTGATCATTTTTCGTCCAGAATTTCGACAGTGAATGCGGCCGGACGGATTTCGCGGTGCCAGTGATGCGGTCCATCACTGGTCGGCCATTCACCGAAATTCTGACTACGGCCTGCGATCCTAGAAGGAAGTCAGCCGTCACTGGCTGTCTTCAGTTAACCAGTTTCATTTCTTCCCGTAAAAAGTACCGTAAGACCGTTCTAACTAATTTACATTGGGTTTTCGTACATCAGATAATAATGATAATAAATTCAGTCCGCGGAATACTTCGGATGCGTCAATTACTTTTGCGTGTGGCTATGGTTTTATGATAATTCGGCTGGTTATTCTGTTTCCTGGGAATGTATTCGGCTTGTAAAGGGTTATCTAGGAATGGTAGAAGCATAATTGTGTCTGCGAATGATATTTTTATGTGTACTTTATGATTTAGTTTTCAGAGGTTTTTCTTAGAAATGGCAGACATTTAATCGTTTACTCGGAACATGTTTTCAAAAACAATGTTTGTTGTATTAGAAATATGTGTGTTAATTTTTATGCAATTGTAGATATGTAATGTAAACGAATAAAATCATTGGGTTATCGAAACAATAAGTCAATTGAACTGTAAAATATGGTCTGTGTCTAAAATTTGGCAAACTTAGTCGAGTCGTCGATGCAACTAACTATTTAAAATTTTAACTGAACTTTAAATCGATGAATTAATTTCTGAAGTATTGTTGAAATAAATAGAAATTATTTTACAATTATGTTTAAATATGTTTCAAGCATTTATTTTAGTTGAAGTAAGTGTTTTATGTTTACAATGCTCATACTTCAGCTACAGTTCTATTATAATACATTATATTCTTCTAATATATCCTATTTTCTATTTATGTAAACAATTCTGTTGGTTCAAATTTATTTTAGCAATATAGTAATCTGTTTCACAGAATGCCGTAAAAAAATAAGAAAAAACCTTGTGGTACTCGAATTACTTTCATTTGTATTATGTGAATATACAACACACAATTTTACCTCTTATAAAGTGAACAATATTTAGGATACTAATAACATTTGTAAACCAAAAATATAAATTTATTTATAATGTGTTTATAATTATCTATAATTTATTATTTATTTATTAAAGCTTGTTGCGTTGAATTCCATCATAATGTCAGTAGGAATGTAAATTAAATCGTAATTACATTCATCGTGGGATATATCGTTCCAGATTCATATCGCTCCCCTACATTTGTATCCGCATGAATATTCGTGGTCGAAAAATCAGCCGGTTATCGGGTTAACGTCCTTCTACGGCAAAATCATAAATTATTTGCGGTGTAGCAAAGCACTCGAGCAAGTGAAGGAAAACGAAAATGGTATCGCGATCATGTAAGAAGAGAACTTTCCTATTTTTCCCCTCGGCGTACGCTGGTACACAGCTACACGTACATTTCCCTAATTCAACAATCAATTTCATGCTTTTGCGACCACTCATTACCCGATTCAATTTACAGAACAATACATACTTCATAATTAATATTAATTTCATCGAAGTACATTTACGTTCACACGTAAGAATTACGTTAACGGAATAAGAGCGGGGTTATAAGCGTGACGAGCCAGAAAGCATGGCAACCGATGGGTATCTCGTGGGGCAGTTTAATCGGTGACGTAATATCTTCAGTCGCTAAATGACGCCGCCGAATTGTCCGTAATCAATGCCGCTAAGACGATACCGTGACTCGGCGAAACATCCGTGGTCCACTTTCAAAATGCAGGTTCGTTTACTAATTTCCGTTGTGTCATTGGGCACTTTGTGAAACGCGAATACCTATATATATATTATGCATCCCGGAATGCATAAAGTGTACGGAACGGTCTCTGTCAAAAATTCAAATTTAATCGATTCAAGATCGTATCTGTGGCACAGTTGAGCAAGATTTAGAGAAAAAGTATTTTAAATTGTAATTAAAATGTTGTATGCTATTCGGATAAAAGTTTAGTTGAAACAGTAGTTCAAACAGCGAGAAAAATTCCGAAATTAGACTATTTTCATTTAAGTGTAAATGTACAATAAATGTCCGTAAATCTAGTATTAAAAAGAAATCTGTTAAAATGAGTAAAATAAGAACTTCAACAAAATTTCATGATTTTTCATATTATTTATAATTTATAAAAATTGTTAATTTAAGAATCAAATTCAATTACTTTACTTCAATTTCATAATGTGTAACTATAATAATTCCTGGTTTACTTATTATTGACTTGATACATTTGACACTTATTACACATGGTATCTACCAATACACGCATTTCTATATACTCCATTATCTTTTTCGGAGATCTACCTCGCTAATTCTCGCACTTATCGTCTCTTCGCAGTTTTCTTCACTCCATTTCCCTTCAAAACCGTACGGTTCAAAGTTCATGGCATTTTACGCCCTACTTCCTCCGACGCCCGTACCTTCAAACCGTAACGCAACCTCTCCCTGAAGAGAAACGCGACGAATTAGAATCTGCGAGTTTCTCGCATGTCACACCCGATGTAGCGAATGACCGACTAATGTTTCGAGACGACTGTTCTTTCTAAGAATTCCATTTTCACCGACACGAGGAACATCTTCCAATGCTTCTTCCGGTTGTTGACACGCTGACAGTAGATTTTCCTAGCAAATTGCTTACGTACACTCCTCTTTTACTACATAGCTTTGTATTAAAAAAAGTATTGTATATCTAAGTTCAAGTTCAAGAATACAAATATTTGTTATATTTCTTTATTATACTTCAGATTTGTGTTGAATGAAATAATAAGTGAGTAATTAATAATAGCACTACCGCATCAATCACAATGACATGTTTCAGTTTCCTTATTTCACAATATGTAATATATGAAACGATTTTAAAACTAAATAGTTTCCTTTGAATGTTATAATGAATATATGAAGGAATCAAAAGAAATCTGTTACAATTTTTCTTAGGATTATAGATTAATCTTACTTAACGTTCGGTAGTTCTAGTGTTAACCATTTGCACTCGAAAGTTTTTCGCTAGATACATTCAACATTTTCCGACGAGATATAACCGACATTCTTTGGAACTACATTAGTAATGAGAAAATATACATAAATTAATAAGAAAGCTATTTTGTTTCAATATATCACGTATTGATGCATTATACATAATTAATATTATATATAAAATTTTATAATTTTGTTATATCGAATCAAGTAGTGAGTGACAGTCACCTATCCAGTGCAAAGACTTAATATTTATAAGAGATACTAAAACGTTATGTTAAGCCATAAAAGTGGTCTTCTTTATTTAATTACGTTCAGTTAACCTTTCGTACGTCAAAGTAGAAATATCATCAACAGTTCAATATAGCTTTACTGTACGTCTTATAAATATGATTTTTTACATTATCGTTACCATTATGTCAATAAAATCAAATTTTTCTTATTTGAAATTCTTATTTCAAACGTATAATGTACCTGACAATTATTACCAATTACACGTATAATAAATTCTGCACGAATAAAAAATTACCA